GATGCTGCTTGGCCTGCTGTGTTCATCCAGCCCTGCACCTTGTTGTCTCGGATTCTCCAGCACCTGCAGTTCTTACTATCTCTATAAAATACAGTAGTTGCACTAGTCTGATCAATGCTGTACCTGGGTTCAGTTTAAATGAGTCACGTCTGAACACAAATATTTCTGTTCAATGGGGTGATATTGTCTCTAATAGATGCCATCCCTTCTCCCTTTTTATTCCTTCATAAGTTTATATTTCTCTATACTTCACATTACTCTAGAATAAATTTAAAGAGTCCAGATTTTTTGCTCGAGAACTAGTGGAATAAGTTTTAAACATACTATAGAATGAATTCAACATTATTTACATGCATGTGTGAATCACATTTTATTTTAAACTACTTACACTATAACTCTCAAGTATAATGGTAAAGTCAGTATGTTGTGTATCTCTAGAAATATTTAAAAGCCAAGGTTTAAGGAAAGCAATTATTCTGTTATTTGATAGTGCTTAGTAATGAAAGCAACAGTACAAACTGAATTACATTAAATGATTTAGTGCTTTAAATTGAAGTTATAAATTTGAAGCAATTTTCTTGCTTGATTTATACCTAAAAGGTGAGGGTTGTTAATATCTCATTATCTGTCCCAATTTTTAAGTATAAAACTATCGCCTTAAAGGCAATGGGCAAATGTTGAGTTTTTGTCTGACTACCACAACTATACTTGCCAGCCATGTAGGTAACATTTGAGAAATTCAGTCATAAAACACAGAAACAGACCCTTCAGCCCACAATGAGAAGCAACTAGTCCAGAAAAAATAGAAAGTGAACAAATTTGATTGGAGAATACAAATGGCACTATTATATTAAGTTTCATTAACAATCATTTCATGAATCATACTGTGATATTATTTAAAGTGAACACAAACTATGTACAAATTCTCGACACCTAAACCATTAAAATCCCATCAGGCAAAGCCAATCAACACGTCACTAAATGAAAACATGCAGTAGCAAAAAAAAAAAAAAAAGCATTTCACCTTTAATCACACAAAGCCAAATTATAGTTTTCCTTTCCTTACGATTTAAGGATTCTTCAATCAAGATCTAGAAGGATTGAATACTTGTATCTGACCATATCATCTTCTGACACCTTCTGTATCACAAAAAATAAAGTTGACAACATGTAAAAATATTCGGTCACATGGAATAAGTCTACTACTAAAATCTTAGGTGCTAGTCAAAGATTGAAATAATTTAAAAAATATCAATTTGTTTATTTCAGGCCAAGTACGGAGGAAAAAGGAAACAACTCTACTTAATCTAGCTTGTCCTCACGCTGCATTGTGTCAGAAAATGATATTTCAATAGAAGAACCACACTGGCAATAGAAAGAGCTTTTTTACATCACGTTAAAATACATACACCATGGGCACCTTTACAATTTCACAAACATTTATTTTGATTTTTAAAACAAGTGTCCACCAAGTTAATAATTTAAGTTTAGCAACTGAGTGCATTTGATTTCAGTGCTTCTAACATGCGCTACAGAAATTCATAACTTGGACTATGGGTTACTTACTGTATAGTGACATTTAAACTCCTTGATTAGGTTGTATTTTGCAACAATGTAGAATATATCATTTTAGTAATCTGTAGCACAGCAGCATGCAATGTGTACTGTACTATAACTGCTCCAAAGCCTTTATAGAAACCAAAGATGCCTTCTTCTTTCTGGATTACATTAATGCAGTCCCTCATTCCTTCATACTGTGTGTTTATAGGAAGCACTTCAAACCCAAGGTCTGTGTTGTCAATGATGGTCCGGGTTCCTTGAATATGTAGGCGGTGAAGCACTGTTTCTAATGGGTAAACCAAAATGTCAGCACAAAGATTTGCAACAAAACTAGCAATAAGTTCAGGGTAGTAAGCATCCAGCACAGTTTGTACAGAATTACAAGCATCAGCTGGGTGCTGATGTAGTGTCTTTTTCTGAAGAAGAAACAGAATAAATTTCTGGATGATGGCACTGATGATGTAATGGAGCACACCATGCAAGACGGTTGGAAAGACTAGAACTCCTAGTGGAAGCAGGCGTTTGCTATGAGGGACACCCATTCCCACCAGTCTACATATACCTTCTTTCACACAATCCAGTATTCCTGGATTGTCTCTTATGATTTCACTCTGGAAATAGAACACAATAAAAGTTAGTCATTAAAATATTACAGATGTATAGTTTAAATATACAAATATCACTAGTTGAACTTTTTTGTAACCCATTATATTTTATTTTATTAATTAAACTGGATGAACATTAAAGAAACGAGGGACAAATTTAGAAAAATACATAAATAGAACTATGAAGCAATTTAAAAAGCTAATGCTTTCATGCATTAGTTTTCTTAGCACTGTATCTCAATTAAAAATCTATGTAAGGAAGCCAAGACCCTAAACTGAATTTTCTAGAGTATGCTACAGGAGGTGATCATTCCTGAACTACAAAGTTTAGGAGGATAACAAGTGAACTTCACAGTTTCAAGTAGATCCGTATTACCATGAGACAAAAGTCTGCATAAGTATGCAGGACACAGCATGATAAAGAAATGCAATCCTCAGAAGGAAATGGATAAACTGAGGGTGGGGTGGAAGACAGCAAGGTATCCCTGCAACTGTCCAACAAGAACCTCTCCATAATTGCCTCCATGTGCCAGGCCATTACGGAAAGAAAGTACAGAACATTTTGAGGTGGGAAAGGAACAGAATTCCTTCCACGTGATATATAAAAGAAATGGGTTGAGGTCACAGAGTCAAAGTTCCAGCAGGTAGGGAAAAAAAACAAACAGCAGAATCTCAAAAAGATACTACTCACTTGGATTACTTCTAGCGCTATGTGCTGGTACATACAGGCAAAGCAGGATTAAATGTTCCAGAGAAATGAGAATCTGGATTTTTTTGAGACGTAGCAGAGCAAGTTTCAATCAATTCAAAGTGTTTACAAGCGTGTCGATCACATTTTATTTTGAACCACTTTATAATTCCCAAGTATAATGATAAAGTCAGTACTTTTTGTATCTATAGAAATATTTAAAAGCCAATGTTTAAGGAAAACTGTTATTCTGCTGTTTCATTGTGCTTAGTAATTAAAACAACAAACAGTACGAACGGAGATTAATAAGACGGTTAGAGAAATGGTACAGAAGGGAACACTTCAGATTGTAGAAGCATTGGAACTGGAAATCTACAAGGTGCTGCTCCAAGTTTAGTAAGTTTCATTGGTCGATGATAGAAAGGCTGAAAGGTCAGTGGATATAGAATTACTTTCTCTTTTAGGTACTTTTTACTCATCTCAACTATCAAGTTCATCAATTTCACATCATAACCTTTGCCCATAACTTTTTTTTAAAAAAATAACCGATAGCTGATGGTGATAACTCCGATTTACCTATATATACCTGCTCCAGCTCGATCCTTTGCATTTTTACTTAATAAATTAACACCTTTGTCCACAACTGGAATTCAGTATCATTCTGGTAAATCCCTTCAAGATCGATTTATACTTCAAGATGTATTGCACAAACCTACCAGTAGTACTCCAGTTGTTTTCTAACCAGAATATTGTGTAACTGTAGTATAGCTTCCACACCTAGTATCTTAAAATTTCCTCTTGTAGAAGTCTGCATTCTTAGCATTTTTGATTATTTTCTGAATTCATCATTTAAATTCTGATGTACATGGACCGTGCAAATCTCTTTGACCCTAAAAGAGCTAAGGTAAGTTATGAAAGAAACTAGCACAAAATATCAAAAAGGATAGCAAAGGCTTCTGTAGGTATTTAAAATGGAAGAGAGTCACAAAGTTAAATGTTGGTCCCTTGGAAGATGAAACCAGAGAGTTAATAGTGGGGAGCACTGAAATTGCACAGATGATAAATCAATACTTTGCCTCAGTTTTCACAGTAGAGGACAATAGTACTATTCCTATTGGAATGGACAAGCCAGAGGCAATGGAAAGTGTAGAACTCAGAATAATTGACAATCAACATCGATACAGAAAAGGTACTCAGCAAACTGTTAGGATTGTGGGCAAACAGATCCCACAGGCCTGATGGTCTAATTCCTAGGTCTTAAAGGAAGTGGCAGCAGAGATAGTGGATCCATTGGATACAATATTCCACAGTTCCCTGGACACGGGAAAGGTTCCAGTGGATTGGAAAAATGCTAATGTAACAGCCTTATTCAAAAAGGAAAGGAGGCAATGTGGGAAATTACAGACCAGTTAGTTTAACATCTGTTACTGGCAGTGTTAGAATCAATTATCAAGGAAGCAATATCATGACATTTGGAAAGTCAAAACACTATTCAGAGTCAGCATGATTTTATGAAGGGCAAATCATGTTTGACTGAATTGCTACAGTTCTTCGAAGATGTAACAAGCAAAGTCAATAATGGGGATCCTGTAGATGTAATATATCTGGATTTCCAGAAGGCATTTGATAAGGTGCTGCACAAGGTTGGATTATATGGGATTAGGGGTAATTTATTAGCTTGGATAGGTGACTGGCTGATGGACAGAAGACAGCAGTTGGGATAAATGGGTTTTTTTCTGGATGGCAAGAAGTAACTAGTGGGGTGCCACAGGGTTTGGTCCTTGGACCCCAGCTAGTTATAATCTACATTAATGACTTAGATACAGGGATAGAAGGCTCTATAGCCAAATTTGCAGACAACACAAAAATAAGCGGGACAGTAAATTGCAGTGAGGAAATAAGAACCTCACAAATGGTGATAGATAGCTGAGGAGAGTGGGCCAAAACGTGGCAGATGGAGTTTAACGTGGATAAGAGTGAGGTCATGCATTTTGGTCAGAAAAATGGAAAGGCTATAATCTAAATGGGGAGACTTCGGGGTGCTCTGGTTCAGAGGGATCTGGGTGTCCTCGTTCATGAGTCAGAGAAAACGAACATGCAGGTACAGCAGATAAAGAAAATGAGTGGAATGTTGGCTTTTATAGCTAAAGGAATACAATATAAATGTTAGGAAGTATTGTTGCAACTATACAAGGCATTGATGAGACTGCACCTGGAGTATTGTTTTGGTCCCCTTATTTGAGGAATGATGTAATGGCATTGGAGGCAGTTCACAGGAGGTTCACTAGATTGATCCCAGAGATGAGGGGTTTGTCGTATGACGAGAGATTGAACAGTTTAGACCTACACTCTCCAGAGTTAAGAAGAATAAGGGGAGATCAAACTGAAGTATTCAAGATGATAAAAGATATAGATAATGCAGACGTGGAACAGATGCTTCCTCTTGTATTCTAGGACAAGGGGTAGCAAATTTAAAACAGAGTGGAGGAGAAACTTCTCCTCCCAAAGGATTGGGAATCTGTGGAATTCACTACTCCAAAGTGCAGTGGATGCTGGGATAGTGAGTAAATTTAAGGAGGAGTTAGATTTTTAATTGGTAATGGGTTGAAGGGTTTTGGGGAGAAGACAGGAAAACAGGGTTGAGGAGCATATCAGCCATGATCAAATGGCGGAGCAGACTTTGATGGGGCAAATGACCTAATTCTGCCCCTATATCTTATGAACTTACGAAATAATAGAACAGAGTACCTTCTACATAATGAAAATCTAGAAACTTTGGAAGTCCAAAGTTGGTGACCTCACATTTGACTATGCTGAAACATATTTGCCACAGCTTTGTCCATTTGCTTAATCTTTCACATTTTTACAATTTTATGCTTCCATCTTTATGTTTACAATCTTGTATGTTCTCTTTATTAAAGTTAAGGATACAGATCTCCATCCCATGACCCACGATATTAATAACTATGGTGGATAGTAGAGCCCCCAACACAGATCCCCAAGATATAGTCACATTCTACTAATTAGAGTACTTGCCTTCATTTCTACTCTTGTCTCCCACTCATCTTGTCCATGGAGACTTACCTCCTGCTCGCTTGACTATTTTCTCATTGAACTACCAACCAACCTCCCTTCCTGGTTCCAAAACTCGACATTATTAACTGTTCTATTTCCTCATGTTCTGTTTGTTGAGATCTTACATCATCATGCCCTTTCTCAAAATAAGTCCCTTTCTTTCTTGCAAACTATTGTCACCAGATGCCCTTTCCTACCCAGTCCATGAACTGGAGTGCTCTCTAACAGTGTTTAGGGATGCTACATTCCAGTCCCTCCCAGTTTTCTGCCTCCAAAGTCATATTCTGATGTCCTACTTAATTGTAATGAAAGCATCCACCTCACACTCCATGTCAATTAGTCCACAGCCTTTGATAGTTGATCACATCACCTTCCTCCAATAACTCCCCATCTTTTGTTAAGAAAAGTAGTACTTCACTTAGTTCCAACCTTATCCACCCAATCATAGTCAGAATGACCAAGGTATTCTGTTCCTAATTCCAGAGTTACCTCTGGTGCTATAGAAGAATCTATCCTGGCGTCTTTTTATTTCTCGGCTGATCATTTGCCCCTGGTGACATCACCCAAAAGAATTATACTTAGTGCGGAAACAGGCCATTCAATCTAGCATGTCCACACTGACAGCCCAAAGAGCTCCTCACCCAGACCAGTTTCCCACTCCATTTTGGTAACTCCACATTTACCATACCTAATCCACCTAGCCTGTTCATCCCTGGACACTATAGGGCAATTTAGCATGGCCATCCACCATTGCACATCTTTGGACTGTGGAAGGAAACAGCAGCATCCAGCAGAAATGCACGCAGAGCACAGGGAGAACATGCAAAACATGCAAACTCCACATAGAGACACCCAAGGCTGGAATCGAAACTGGGTCCTTGGTACTGTGATGCAGCAGAGCCAACCACTGAGACACCAAAGGCCCATGAACGTCAACATGCACAGGTGATTATTATCTCACTAACACCTTAAGCTCCTCCACTGTAATTGTTAAGATTGCTTATACAACATTCAGTATGTAGATCAATAGAAATTTACTTCAACTAAACGTTAGAAAAAAAAAGGCCATTGTCTACAGTCTCTGCTACAAATTCCACTTCAATGATTCCATGCCTCTCAATGGCAACTGTCTGAAACTGAAACAAACATTTTGTACAAGCTTGCAATCACATAAGACCCCGAGATGAGCTCTCAGCTACATATTCATGTTGGTCATGAAGACTTGCTACTTTTACATCCATAACGTCTCCAGCCTGTACTTCTGCCTCAGCCATAATCTGAGACCTTCATTCAGGTCTTTATTACCAGTAAAACTGACCACTCCAATCCATTCCTACATTCTAGCCTTCATAAAATTTATGTTATCCAAAACTGTTGTCTTAAAGCGTATTTATAAACCATTTGCACTAATGCACATTTGCTGACCTGCAACGACTCAGTTAGGACTCAATTTTAAAAACTCATCTTGGTTTTTAAATTCCTCCATTAGTTCACCTGTCCTATCACTGTAATCTCTTCCAATCCTACAATCCTCTTTAATACCTGTGATCCCTCTGAAATGGCCTAGCAAGCCATTCAGTTGTACCAATTGTTACAAATTCCCAGAAATGAACCCAGACGCATCAACAGGCATTAACATAGGCACCAGAAAAGGCAACAGCAGAAACAGCTCTGTCAACCCTGCAAAGTCCTCCTTACTAATATCTGGGTGGCTAGTGCCAAAGTTGGGAAAACGGTCTCACAGATCAGCCAAGCAACAGCCTGGCACATCATATTCACAGAATCGTACCTTACAGACAATGTCCCTGACACCACCATCACCACCCCCAAATATGACCTTCCCCATTGGCAGGACAGACCCTGCAGAGGTGGCAGCACAAGTGGTATACAGTTGGGATGGAGTTGCCCGGGAGTCAACATGGACTCCAGATCACGTGCCGTCTCATGGCTTCAGGTTAAACATGGGCAAGGAAGCCTCCTGCTTAATTTCAAGTACCGTCCTCCCTCGACTGATGAGCCAGTGCTCTTCAATGTTGAGTAACACAGAGGAAGCACTGAGGATGGCAAGGGCTCAAAATGTACTCTGGATAGGGGATTTCAATGTCCACCATCAAGAGTGGCTCAGCAGCAGTACTACTGATTGAGCTGATCAGGTCCTGAAGTATACAGCTGCTAGACTGGGTCTGCAGTAGGTGGCGAGGGAACCAACATGAGGGAAAAACATACTTGACTTTAGCCTTACCAATCTGTCAACTGCACATGCATCTGTCTATGACAGTACTGCTAAGAGTGATCACTGTGCAGTCTTTGTGAAGACAAACTCCCGCCTTCATATTGGAGAAAAAAGACCTTCGTGTTGTGGCACTATCACCATGCTAAATGGGATAGACTTTGAACAGATTTAGCGACTCAAGAATGGGCAGCCATGATGCACTGTGAGGCATCAACAGCAACAGAATTGTTACTGCAGCACCAGGCATACCTGAAAATGAGGTGTCAACCTGATGAAGCTATCAAACAGGACTTCTTGCATGCCAAAGCATAAGCAGCGAATGACACAGTAGTGATCTCACAACCAATGGTTCAGATCTTAGCTTGCAATCCTGCCACATCGAGTCATGAATGGTGGTGGACAACTCACTGGACGAGGAGGCTCCACAAATATCCCTACCCTCAATGATGGAGCAACCCAGCACATCAGTGCAAAAGATTAGGCTGAAACTTTCGCAGCAATCTTCAGAAATGCTGAGTGGATGATTCATTTTGGGCAACTCAAGGAGTCCCAGGATTAAATATACCAGTCTTCAGCCAATACAATTCACTCTACGTGATATCAAGAAACGTAGGAGACACTGGATATGCCCTGACAATATTCTGGCAATAGTACAGAAGACATGTGCTCCAGAACTTGCCGCTCCCCTAGCCAAGCTCCTCCAGTACAGTTACAACAGTGGAATCTACTTGACAATGTGGAAAATTGCCCAGGTATGTCCTGTACCTAAAAGCAGGTCAAATCCAACCCAGCCAATTACCGCCCCATCAATCTACTGTCGATCAACAGTAAAGTTATGGAAGGTGTCATCAACAGTGCTATGAAGCAGCATCTGCTCAGCAGTGCTCAGTTTGGGTTCCACCAGGGCCACTCAGCTCCTGACTTCATTACAGCCTTGGTTCAAACACGGATAAGAGCTGAATTCCAAAGATGATGAGAGAATGGCAGCCCTTGACATAAAAGCTGCATTCAACCGACTGTGGCATTGAGGAGCCCTAGCAAAACTGGAATCAATGGGTATCGGGGGCAAAATCTCTGCTGGTCGGAATCATACCTGACACATAGGAAGATGGTCATGGTTGTTGGTCATCTCAGCTCCAGGGCATCTCTGCAGGAGCTCCTCAGGGTGGTGTCCTCAGCCCAACCATCTTCAGCTGCTTCATCAATGATCTTCCCTCCATCATAAGGTCAGAGGTGGGGATGTTCGCTGATGATTATACAATGCTCAGCACCACCCCCAACTCCTCAAGCACTGAAACAGTACATGTTCAAATGCAACAAGATCTGGACAATATCCAGGCTTGGGCTGACAAGTGGCAAGTAACATTCACATCACACAAATGCCACGCTATGACCTTCACCAATAAGAGACAATCTAATCACCACCTCTTCACATTCAACACTAACAACATCCTGGGTTTATCATTGATCAGAACCTCAACTGGACCCACCACAAACACAGTGGCTAAAAAAGCATGAGTCAGAGGGTAGGAATACTGTAGCGGGAAACTCATCTCCTGACTCCCCAAAGCCTGTCCACCATCTACAAGGCACAAGTCAGAAGTGTGATGGACTACTCCCCACTTGCCTGGAACGGTGCAGCTCCAACACAAGTTTGATACCATCCAGGAAAAGGCACAATGTACACAAACATCCAGTCCCTCCACCTCAGCAGCAGCAGGGTAGACTATCTACAAGATGCCCAGACAGCAACTTCCAAACCCACAACCACTTCCATCCAGAAGGACAAGGGCAGCAGATACATGGGAACACCACCACCTTCAAGCACCCCTCCAAGTCACTCACCATCCTGACTTGGAAATATATCATTATTCCTTCAACATTGCTGGGTCAAAATCCTGGAATTCCTCCCTAATGGCATTGTGAATCAACCCACAGCAGGTGGAGTGCAGTGGTTCAAGAAGGCAGCTCACCACTACCTTCTTAACGGCAACTAGGAATGGGCAATGTATGGTGACTAGCCAGTGACGCCCAATCCCAAAACAAATCCTTTAATATTTTCCCACTTTTAATCACACCACTACCAGTGGTCATTCCTTCATCTGCCTCATCCCCAAGCTATGGATTTCTTTCCATAAATGCCTCTGCCTCTCTCATGCTCCCTTTTACTCTAACACCCCTTACTTTAAAACCTCTGTCTTTGAAGCAGCTTTAGGTCATTTGTTCTAATACCCCACTATGCAAATGGTGTCATATTTGTTTTATAATAACTTTATGAAGTGCTGTGGGACAGTTTATTATGTTAAAGGTGCTTTATAAATACCAGCTGTTGTTGGAAGCAGTTATATGTTTTTACTTTCTTTCAATATATAAGCTTTTGACTATACAGTCTGCCATCAGTTATTCTTCTAACAGCCTCTGGTAGGATACACTTTCTTAATTAAAAAAAAGTAATGAGCTACAAACAAACACTGTCAGAATCAAAACCGAAGGAATTGCGGATGCTGTAAATCAGGAACAAAAGACAGAAGTTACTGGAAAAGCTCAGCAGGTCTGGCAGCACGTGTGAAGAAAAAAGTCAAAGTTATTGTTTTGGGTCCGGTTGTGAGGAAGGGTCACCAGACCCGAAACTTTAACTCTGATTTTTTCTTCAGAGATGCTACCAGCACTGTCAGAATCAAATTCTTGGATTAGAAAATAGCAATCCTGGAGACACTTATGATAAAACTAACTATGAACTAAGTAGATTCAATACATCAAAGGGGCTCCTTTTTGGTTCATACTTCAACAGATTCAAAGTATCACAAGAATAAATGATCACTGACTGGACATTAGCTACTTAATAGTTGATTACATAAAAAGGTAATAATTTACTTCACTCACTGTTAATAAAGTTTATTGATTATACAGAAAATTTACCTGCACAGTCTCAATTAAACTAGCCGAGTAAAAAGGCAATGCCACTACGCAGGTCAGCCTGCAGGAAAATAAAATTTGTTTTTTAAAAAAAAGTTCTCTTAAACAGCCTACGTGAAATGATTCAAGTCCACAACTAGGCTTATATCCAGCAAAACTTATCGCAAGTGAAATTATCCACCATAATTTCAAGAAGAATAAATTTATAAAAGGGAAATGTGATAATTTTAATTGTATTAAATCCACGGCACCAATATTAAACAGGAATATCACTGCATGCCCTATAGATGTGCACTACAAGAATTACATTTCTAATTTACACTAATGGTAGATTTAGAAGCTTACATAAAAATAGTCACATTTTCAGAAAATACCAAACCAGGAAGGACCATTGAATCTGTTTTCATTACAGCTTAGAAGCACAAAGGATTGATTGTAGGTGCTGAACAGTCTTAAAGTGGATGTGGAAATCCAATGGAGTCCAGAATTATGGGGGTTGGACTCCAATTTAAAATGAGGAGTTGCCCTTGTAGGACAGAAATGAGAATTGTTGTTCTCAGACTTTGTACAAAGTTGGAACCCTGCCTCAGAAGGCGTTCATGACAGGGTTACTGAATAATTTTAAAGGTAGAAATAGATAGCCTTTGATTGCCTTGTCTAGCAGCAAACCATCAGGGTGTATGAGAATGTGGTATTTGAAACAAATTGATCAGTGGGTATTTTATTCAGTGGCAGAGTAGGCTCAATGGGCCTCCTCCTGCACCTAGTTCTCATGCTTCTGTAATATTCAGCTCAGGAAATGTTAAATAACAGACAAAATATGTAAATGAATAGAAATGGGGGAAGAAAACAAGTAATTTGCTTGCTCTTTAAAATAGAGATTTAAAAGGTTTTTGTAGATATGGGGCTAATGTGACCAACACTAAATAAAACAAATGAATCACTAAACTATATAATTAAGAATCATATGAAAGGCAAGGAAATCATGGCTCAAACAGCTTGAACACTGTATGCAATGCTGGTCTCAGGATCACATGGAACATTCAGGGTCTGGAGAAGTTCAGAATCAGGTAACAGATTCCATGAGCCAAAAGAATTGTGTCATGAGGTAAAATGATCACATAATAGAAGACTGCAAATGATTTCAAAAGAAATCAATCATTTAAGACATTACCTGAAGTTAAACACTGACAGTAGGGAAAGAGGGATTTGGTAAAGTTTGCAAAAAGCAAATTTAGAATACATTGTTTCACAAAGGGATTATCAGGATTTTAGGTAACAGACAACAATCATTAAATGACTGAATATATAAATGGTACGATACACTAATTCTAAGTTAAGAACAGAGGAATTAGCTGGACCAAAGAGCCTGACCAATCATCTTCCTTATGATCTTCAGAGACAGGAGATAGAAAAGATTTCTTTTTTGAATTGTTTCCTCTCCAGCTGTGCTAGACAAGGACATCTGGAACTTGATCTTTAGCAAGCGAATTTAGAAATATAAACTTTGAATTCATTAGAAGAAAAAACTTAATTGACAAACCCCATAGTTCAGGACATCACCCAAGTTGAACAGTTAAACAAGTAGCGATTAGGTGGTATGGAGTACAAAATGAATGTAAGCAAACAAAAATGAGCACATCTGGCCATATCTGCATTAGCCAGACTGGAATTAATCTAAACAAATATCAAGATAACAACTAAAATGAGATAGCCATCAATAGTTTCAGGAGATAATGCTCTCAAACTATCACATGATTCCTGTTGCAACTTACCCTTTCAGTACAAGATGACCAGCTATTTGTTTCGGACTCCATTTATGGGAAACCTCTCTGCAATAAGAAACTTGTAGGATAATGTTGTGCAGATTAAGTATTAAATCATGTATACTAAACAGTAGTACCAAAACGTCTAAGAAGAATCCTGCATTGAGTTTTAGCCATTGATAAAGTTAATACGTTCATCTTCTCAATGTAAACTCACCATACCGCAATTTCTATTTCAACTTATTTTTTCTTGATAGGACTCTAGGAGAAGAATGACCTGTTGCTAACAAAGGTGGTCAAGGATGGTGTCCAATGAAAAGCTAAGACATACAAAGTGGTTAAAAACTAGTAGTAGGCCAGAGGATTGGGATTTTTTTGGGAACTGGCAGACGATTAAAAAAATTACTCAAGAGGGAAAACACTTTTTATATTTCTTGCCAATTTACTTCCAAACAACTGAATTTCTATGGGAAATGAATGAGACAGAGATGAGCTAAAGTGGTTGTAGGACACTTAGAGGGTGTGACTGCAGAATTAATAAACAGGAAACAGGTAGATAATTTAAATCAATATTATGCACAATTCTTCATAGTGTAGGACACAATAAATATCCCACAGTTATCAGATAAACAATGTACTGAGGTCGAGCTGGTGTGTTTGACTGCAGACATTTCGTCACCCTACTAGGTAACATCAGTGGCGCCTCCGAAGAAGCGTTGGTGTTCTGTCCTGCTTGTTATTTATTGCTGAGGTTTGCTGGAGTGGTTGTCATCACTTCCGTTCTGGTTTTTCAATGGTTTGTATATTGGGTCCAGTTCAATGTGTTTGTTGATGGGAGTTCCGGTTGCAATGCCAGGCCTCCAGGAATTCCCTGGCATGGCTCATGCTACTATGATGTGTTGTCCTAGTCAAATTCATGTCCTTCTTTGTCCGTGTGTATTGAGACCAGTGAGATTTGGTCATGTCTCTTGGTGGCTAGTTGGTGTTAGTGTATTTTTATTGAAAGTTTTCTTCCAATTTGGCCTATGTAATTTTTTTCCCCACAGTCCTTGCATGGAATTTTGTATATTTTGGTAGTTTTATTGGTTGTGGGTATGGAATCCGTTATGTTCGTCAGTAGCTGTCGCAGGGTGGTTGTTGGTCTGTGAGGTACCCTGATAACTAGGGGTTTGAGTAGTCTTGTGATCATCTCTGATAGGTCTCTGATGTACAGTAGGGTGATAGTGTGTCTGGCTATGTTGTGTCTTCTTGCTTTAGTTGCGGAGGTAATGGCAGACTGAGCTTTTTGGGTATCCATTCCTTTTAAAAACTCCAGATAAATGCTCCTGTTCTGCTTTGTGCAATTCCAGGTTGCTGCAGTGTGTTGTGGCTTGTTCGCATAATACCCTGATGCAGCTCCGTTTATGGGTGTTGGGGTGGTTGCTGGTGTAATGGAGTATCTAACCCGCATGTGTGGTCTTTCTGTATAGGCTGATCTGGAGTTCCCTGTCGTTCTTACGTTCCACTATTACATCTAGGAAGGGTAGTTGGTTATTGTCCTCCTGTTCTTTAGTGAACTTTGTTCTGGCAAGGATGTTGTTTGTATGTCAGTGTGTTTCTTCTAGTGTTGACAAACTACAAGCATACCCACAACAAATAAAACTAACAATGTACAAAATACCATACAAGGACTGAGAAACATTACATAGGCCAAACTGGAAAAAAAATACTTACAATAAAGGATACACAAACACCAACTGGCCACCAAGAGATATGACCAATTCTCACTGGTCTCAATACATACGCACAAAGAATGACATGAATTTGACTCTGACAACACATCCATAACAGTACAAGCCAACAGAGACATGCCAGGGAATTCCTGGAGGCCTGGCATTCCAACCGGAACTCCATCAACGAACACTTTGAACTGGACCCAATATAGAAAGCACTGGAAAACCAGAGGCACAAGTGATGCCAACCACCCCAGCAAACCAAGACATATAAATAACAAGCGGGACAGAACACCAACACTTCATCAGAGGCACACTGATTATTTTACCCATCAGGGTGACGAAAAGTCTGTAATCAAACACACCAGCTCAATGAGCAAGTCTACAATCTCATCCACAACCTAACTACCAATCTTCTCAAAAGCTTTAAACAAAGTGCTAATGGGAGGAAAAATCTTGGTACAGTCACTATCACAATGGACAAACTAATGAGTCTGAAGGCATAAAAGTCACCAGGTCTTGATGGCCTGCATCTAAGGGTTTTAAAGAAAGTGGCTGTTGAAATTGTGGAGGCGTTGGTCAAAAATATTCCAGAACTCACTGCTCTTTTTAAGAGGGGAGACAGGAAGCAGGAAACTGTAAAATGAAACACAGCGACTTCACGGTTTAGTGAATGGGAAATTATTGATATGTTGAGACAGTGGGCAAAACAATGACAGATGCAGTTTAATGTAGGAAAATGTGATGTCATGCACTTTGGTAAGAAAAGTCAAATGCAGACTATTACGTAAATGAAGAAAGACTCCAAAAAAAAAAAAAAAATGCAGCATAAGGGGACCTGGGGTGTGCTTGCAAATGAAAAACATAGTTAGCATGCAGGTACAGCAAGTAATTAAGACAGATTGAATTTTAGCCTTCATTGCTAGGGGTTGGAGTTTAAAAATGTGGAAGTTTTATTACAACTACACAGGGTGTAGGGAGGGTTGACCTGGAGTACCGTGTATGATTTTGGTCCCTATATTTGAGAAAGGATATACTGGTATTGGAGGTTTCTCAAAACAGATTCACTAGACTGAATCCTGAGATGAAGGAATTGACTGATCAGGTACAGTTTAACTGTTAGGCATTTATTCATTAGAATTTAGAACACTGAGGGGTGATCTAATTGAAACATACAAGATTTTGATGGGGCTTGACAAGGGAGATATTGAGAAGTTGTTTCCACTGATGGGAATCTCGAACTAAGGGACATAGTCACAACATAAGAGAATACTCATTTAAAACTGAGATGCAAAGAAATCGGTTTTCTCAGAGGGTAATGAATGCCTGGAATTCTTCAGCCCTATGAAGGCTAGATCACTTACAAGTATTTAAACAAGAGGCAGAGAGATTATTGAAATAGAGGAATTGAAGGCTATGAGGAGCTGGCAGGAAAGAGGAATTGAAGCCTAGGGCAGATCAGCCATGATCTTCTATATCATGAAGTATCTAATGTCTATTCTTGATCCTAATTTTTATATTCTTTATAATATTAAAAGAGAAAGTTAAGTCAAGTCCTTTAGATTGGTTTTGCTATCTGAGCACATACAAAGAAAACTTGCATTTTGCCCATTTATCCCAACCATGCCTTTCCACCATATCAAGTTTAAAAATAAATTCAACCAGTGATATTGTACAAATAGAAGCTGTTTTTGAAAGTACAACTAGATGTGACCTACCTGGGAAGTGGTGTAAATTCACTGATGATGCCTTCAGTACCCAATGCTATTCCTTGAACAATAAATGTGCTTCCCATCCCTTTCCATAATCCTTTTATTCCCTGCAAGTGTCAAATAGAGACAGTGATTCAATTTCCTACTTCTTTTTTGTGCAGCACTAACAAATAAGATTGGAATAAAACAAACTCTAAAAGCCAGAGAGGGAAATAAACAGCTTGTTTTTTGTTTAATAAAAGTTTGTTATACATTCCCTAGATATATTGGTAAATTCTCCATTGCCTCGTCGGCTTTTATCTTTGTGAAGTATAGAAGAACAGAGAAAGAATAAAGACAGTTTATAAACAGAAACTGCTATTGAAATTGCATTAATCTTCAAGAATTCAGATTATTTTTTAACCAGAACATATTGATTTTCTACTTTTAAGCTCTGTCTCAATGTGCATTACACCCGGCTTTGTAAATCTTTTTCCTTTGGAGAAAGTATTTACCAGTTATCCCAACTGCAAGTCAATGGTGAAGTATAAAATTAGAATAATTCATAAGCACTAGTGTAGTGGTATGTCACTGGACTAGTAGCCCAGACCCCAGGCTGGAGATTTGTTCAGATCCTCAACAGTAGATAGGAAAATTTGAACTGAATTCAATAAAACTCTGGAATAGAAAGCTAGTCTAATGACTATCATTTAACCACTGTGGAATGTCATAAAAACCCATTTGGTTCACTAATGTCCTTTTGCCACCCTTACCTGGTCTGGGCTACATGCGGCTCCAGACCTACAGCAATGTGGTTTTCTTTGATCTGCATCCTGGGCAATGAGGGATAAACAACAAATGCTAGCCTGGCCAGCCATCTCCATATCCCACAAATGAATTCAAAAAATGCATCTCTTAATCCTAGGTTCATTTATGGATTGCAGCATTACATATGTCTGCACCCAACCTACCCAAACTAAGGGCCTGAAAAGAGGAGAAATTGGATAAACTCTGCAGTTCTGGCAACATCTGTGGGGAGAAAACAGAGTTAACGTGGAGTCTAGCGACTCTTCATCAAAACTTTATACGACCCAGGGTCCTAGCTGTTTCTCTTTAAATTCTCCAAATACTTAATTAAACAATGCCCTCGACTTGTTCTGTCTATCTTAATATTAATTAGCTGTTAGCACCACACCACTAGGTTGTGATGCATTGCAAATTTTTCATTAAAATTGAGCCAATGGAGGGAGAGCAAGATTTAAAGGAGCAGAATTTATCAAAATATCTGAACTTCTTTTAAACAAAATCTCAGAAAATTTCCTTTAACTACACAAAAATTAGATGTAATAAGATGTAATTTTATAAAAATGTTGAAAAGAAAAATTCTGAAAACATAAAATGTTTCTGGGAATTTGGTTTGAAAACAAAGAGGAGTATAAGTAATAACAATATTAAAATATTCATCCGTTTTGGAATGGGAGAGGGGTATATGCAAATACATTTCCAAGCATAAGGTGACTGTAAAGACCTACCTGAGTTTTGCTGAAATGATACATAATATTTACAACAGTGAAAGGAGTAAGATGATAACTTTTTGCATGATAATTGACCTAAAAAGTATAAAAGATTAAAAAGAATTACCATTTTCACACAGTTTAAAGCCAAGGTATTTAATAAATGCACACGCTTCCATTCTCAAAAGAGGCCTATAGTAGGTCCTTGCTTTAAGTTGCACTCCTCCCCCATCCCGTTAATGCATTTTGTTTTAAACAGTTTCATTCTCAAGTCCTGCTTCAAACTAAGCTGACATTAAATTGGGAGTGCCATTACCTTCAACCCTTCCCTCCCCACCCATTGGAGTTACCTCCCTCCTTCCCTTTCTTCCTCCCTCTAGTTTCACTCCCTTCCACTATTGCCTCCCTTTGCCCTAACTTTGTCTCCAAACCTGTGCCCCCTGCCCCAACCTAGCTTTGTTTCCCCTCTGCTTTTAGCTTTGGCTGCTCCCTTTGTCATTGAAGCGGTTCTCATCTCCCGACTATGGTTCTGAAATATTACCGAAGAGCTCAATCTAACAGCAGAAAGTCTGCAGCTCTTAAACAATGACCAACTTCTGCCACTGGAGTCTGGTCAATCTAATAATAGGGTGAATCAACTTTTTAAAAATCTACCAATTTGTGTATTGAACATGATAAGTGATGGAGCTTCCACAGCTCTCTGGGATAGCAAATTCCAAAGATTCACCACGCTGAGTGAAAATAAAATCCTCATCCCAAATTGCCCAGCCCTTATTCTGTGACTGTCCCCTCTGGTTTTAAACACCCCAACAAGAGAAATTATCATATCCACAACTACCCTGTTGCATTCTGTAAGAATTTTCTAAGTTTTGTGAGATCGCTGCATATTCTTCAAAACACTGGAAAACACAGGCCCAGTTTCTTCGATGTCTTCTTGAGAAAATACCACCATCCCAGTGATTAGTTAGGTGAACCTCCATTGTTCCACTCCTGTATGGCTAGTACACCCTCTCCTAGTTAAGGATATCAGCTTTACACAGTACTCCACCTGCTGTCTTACCAAGTCTCTACACAATTTCAGCAAGACAATTTTAATTCTGTATGCATATCTATTTGTAATAAAGGCTAACATATCATTTGCTGTCCAAGAAAACCACCACAATATGAAGCAGGTGGAAAGTCATTTTGATTTGGCAACAAATTACATTTAAATGCTGCTTTTAATGTAGCAGAACAATCCAAACACTTCAAAATTATTTGTTATGTAAATAATTTCAAGGTATTACGATAGGTGATAAAATAAAGCAATTTTCCTTTTTTTTTGCTCTCCTGCCCTGTAGGTGCAAAAAAATTTCTCTGGCGAAAGGCCACAAGCACTTTGACAAATCAATAATTCTTTAATCAACAGCCTAGATAATAAAATCATAGCTAGTCAAGGTTGGCATGCTGAAGAATCACTTGATAGCCATGAAGTGTGGGAAACATTGGTTTGTTCTCATTTCCAGAATCCAGAGTGGGTGAGCTGTGGGCAGTTCTACTCCTACAGTTAGACAATGGTTATCTAATTTACTACGAACTGTGAATCAAACCTAGAACATTTCCAGTAACAATAGTTCAGTGCTATACCAGGTGATGCCCTTTCTTCCTAGCCATTACAGAAACCAACAAATGACATATCCCTCCAAATGACAGCATAGACAAACAACACCAGCAATCTGATGAAGGATTTTGACCTATTTTGCAATAGTACAGTGATCTGTATTTGACAACTGTATATAAAGAATGATCCAAAACTCTTAGTTCTGATTGGAGACCTCAAGCAGGTCCTCAAAATTTAAACTCCTTGCTATTGTACAAAAGCCTTTTTTAATAAATCAAAATATAAGGCTATGAAATGTAATTTTAATCCTAGTAATTTTCAGTATAATAAATCTTCCTCACTTTCCCTTCTTAAAATTTCATACCTGGCACTGACGCCGAAAAACAATACAGGGATGAGCCAACACATTTTCTGTGAAGAGACTTTAAATGAAAAAGTACAATTAGACAAAGCACTAAGCACAGAAAATACTTCTAGTAAGGTTCCGATAGACTTGTCCAGACAAAAGCAGATGAGAAATAACATTATTAAATTTATATCCAAATACAATCCAAATGTAACACAGGATTATGTTATAATTTTCTTACCTGCAAATCAAACCAAATTAGATCCTTATCAAAGAACCATAATAATAATACATCCTGGAATCCACATTTTTCCCCTGAAATGATACTAATTTAAAATTAACTTTTGTATGTATTTTGGTTTTTTGCTTGTTTAGTTAATTCATTTAACATTTTACGATTTTCCAATGCACACTGCATTTTCTTCTATTTTCCCCTTTCTAGTTTAAGACTACCAGAAACAGCTTGCTCTTTTACAACTCTGGTCAGAAGACTCACATCCAGCAGAGTATCTAATGTTGTGAAGGCTTGCATTACTAATTATTTTTGAGAACTTTTGATTATAGGAGAAATAACTGGACCTGCTTTCAACCCTAAAATAATGTGCACTATGGAATACTTTTAAAAAGAAAAGACACTAACAGTTTAAACTTGTAATAAACATACGAACAAGGAACAAGAGTAGGCCACTGTCCCCTTTGAGCCTGCTCCACCGTTGAATAAGATCATGGCTGATCTGATTTTAACCTCAACTCTATATTTTTGCATATCCCTGGAAATCTTTCTATCTCGGACTTTAAACATGTAAAGAATCTGATTCCACTGTTTTTTGAGGAAGGGAATTCCAAAGACTCTCAACCCTCAAAAAAAAAAAGTTTGTGCTTTAAGGCACCCCTTTTGTTTAGAAAGACTATGATCCCTAGTTCTAGATTCTCCCACAAGAGGAAACATATTTTCAACAACGACCTGCCTCTTAACTGGAAGTCACACATCTAAGATAATTGTTGTCTGAAGTATGGCTATTTTGATATTGTTTGGAATTCAGTTTGGATGTAGCGTGTGAACAGATAAGACCCTAATCAACCTATATCACCTAGCCAAGAAATCTTTTCGGGGATTCTGCAAGCGAGTTGAAAATCTGAAATAACTATTCTCACCGAGAGCTTCTGGAAAACTTACTAGACATCTCTTGAATGTATTGTTCCTTTTTGAAATTTCCAGTAATATACACGTGTCTGGTGATACCCATCTACTGAAAGCATCTGGAAGATTTCATACTCTGTGCCTGACCCTTCAAGAACTAAACAATCATGTGGCCAAAGTGTCTTTTTCTCAACAAAAAACCTCTGAAGACAAAGTTGCCATATTTCTTTAATTTGTAAATGTTGAGATTCTCCAGAAACAAAAATATTTATACACTTATATAGGTCCCCCACAAACCCAAGAGGAGAAGATGGGAGGGTGAAAACAAGGCAAGTAGCCAAACATGACAATGGACAGCTCGGCACACCCTACGATGTCTTTCTCAGGGCAGAAAAGAAAGTGTGAAGGTGGAAGCGATAACCAAAGCCTAAATATTTCCACTCTCTAAAAGATTTATTGATTAAGCCATGTTTTGATAATAAATCAACAGTTTTATGTTAATCAGAGAAATCTGATAGAATTTCAGAATAAAAAGATCCATCTATTATGAAGTGTAGAATTAGCCATATAGATAACCAGTTACCCTGCTTTCACAGATGCTGCCAGACCTGCTGAGATTTTTTTCCCACCAATTTCCATTTATGGTTTGTATTTGCAGCATCCACAGTTCTTTATTTCTTTCATTAGAATTAGCCTTTAGCAGTAACAGAATAAGCATTCAAATATATGATGGGACTGATGAGTGCTGGGACTAGAAGGAGATAGCACACTCCTCCAAATTCAGTTGCTACAATACTGTTTGTATGATTTAAATACATAAACATCTTTAGTCATTTTAAGTGAAGCACGTTATTTGGTCTACGAGGAAAACTTCAGCTTATGTCAACAGGAAGTTCGAATAAAACTTTAGTACTGTACCTTGCGAGGCCAACACCAAACCCTGCAAATCTATTTAACTGATCTGTAACAAAAAAGAACGAGAAAATATTACATAAGTGATTTTGAAAACTATATGCAACATCCACTTGTCAATTTTATTCTCCATCCAGATCTAATACACTAACTTTGTTTCAGCATGACAGCATTGAACAAGTGTTTGGAAATGTAATTATATGAAACCAAAATAACTTCAAAATCTAGAAAATTTTCAAGTGTCAATATGGATAGCATTTTGTTGATGTTGCATTCTACTAATGTTCACACTTATTATATTGTTACTATACACCCAATCTTTACAAAAAAGAATTAAGATAATTGATTTTTGGCTTAATGTGCATTTTACAAATCTTAACAATACATGCATATAACATTTAATTAATGCAGGTAGATACTGATCATTCAGATCATTCTTGCATAGAAACAGCATGTGACAAAAGCACATTTCTGAAGCAAATGTGCTATAAAAGAGAAGGCACACTGTAAGGACAAGGCAAAACACAGAAAGGGAATTCCTTGATACTTTTTGTTAGAATAAACCCGATGAAGGCTCTCTTCCCACAAACAACACAACTTAGATGCACATGTTGAGTAACACAGCAAAAATTTAAAAGTTTAAAAATCCTTTTGTAAATCAGCAAGTGCATAATGCAAAAGTACATACTGAATGCATTAACTTTTCAGGGGAATAAAAACAAATATACTCTTTGAATTACATAGGACGTATGGCACAGAAACAGGATATTTAGCCCAACCAGTCCATGCCCATGTTTATGCTCCACTCTAGTCCCCTTCCCTCGTTAATGATCTAAATCTACTCGACAAAAGCTCTGTGGACAGACGGTGAAATTTGAATTCAATTAACTTACAAAAGCTAGTTTAATGGTGTGCATGACACCATTGTTGATTCTTGTAAAAGATTATCGTGATTGACTATTAATCCTTAAGGACACCTAATCTGGCCTAAATGGGCATCCAGATGCACAGTACAGCACAAGTGAATGCCTCAAATATCTTTTGAAACACCTGAGCAAGGGACTAAATTTTGCATAACCACTACCAAGTCAGTTAAAAGGAATGAAACTGGACAAATCATCTGGCATCGACCACAGCACCAGAAATAACGATGGCATTCACAACCGCATCGACACTGCAAAGTACAATGGAGTACAATGTTGATAAGTGTGAGGTCATCCATTTTGGTAGGAATAACAGCAAAATGGACTGTGTTTCAAATGGTAAAAAATTGCAGCACGCTGCTGTGCGGAGGGACTTGGGTGTCCTTGTGCATGAATCGCTGAAGGTGGGATTGCAGTGCAGCGGGTAATTAAAAAGACAAATGGAATTTTGTCTGCCATTGCTCGAGGGATGGAGTTTAAAAAAAGGGAGGCTATGCTGCAGCTGTATAGGGTCCTGGTGAGGCCACACCTGGAGTACTGTGTGCAGTTTTGGTCTCCTTACTCGAGAAGAGATATACTAGCACTGGAGGGGGTGCAGAGGAGATTCACTCGGTTGATTCCAGAGCTGAGAGGGTTGGATTATGAGGAGAGACTGAGTAGGCTGGGATTATACTCATTGGAATTCAGAAGAATGAGGGGAGATCTTATAGAAACATATAATATTATGAAGGGAATAGATAAAGTGGAGGCAGGGAGGTTGTTTCCGCTAGCAGGTGAAACTAGGACTAGAGGGCATCGCCTCAAAATAAAGGGAAGCAGATGTAGGACTGAGTTCAGGAGGAACTTCTTCACCCAAAGGGTTGTGAATCTGTGGAATTCCCTGCCCAGTGAAGCGGTTGAAGCTACCTCGCTGAATGTGTTTAAGGCAAGGCTAGATGAATTTTTGAAAAATAAAGGAATTAAAGGTTACGGTGAGTGGGCGGGTAAGTGGAGCTGAGTCTCAAAAAGATCAGCCACAATCTTATTAAATGGTGGGGCAGGCTCGAGGGGCCAGATGGCCTACTCCTGCTCCTCGTTCTTATGTACTCCTTGAGATCTGAGGGCTTACACCAAAGTTGGGACAGCTATCCCACAATAACAGCTGGCATAGTAATTGTCATGGCATCATACGTTACCAAAAATACCCCAGACAACCATCGCTGGGCATGCATGATTGGAAATAATTTAATGTCTGTTGTAGTTAGTGATTAATCTCCTCCTTGTTCTTCAGCAATACGTAAAATCAGACGTTGATTTAGAAAGGGGTGTTATTGGAAATATACGGGGCATGTCCAGCAATGGGGGCAACACAGTGGTAGACAGTCTGAAGGGACTTTCTCTGGGCATCCTTAACATTAACTCTGAATCCCGTGAAGTCTTGTAGCTTTAAATAGAACATGGGTAAGGAACCTCTTGCAGATTACAACACACCACGCCCAGCTTAGCTGATGAATCTTTTCTACTCCACGTTGAATATCATATGAAAAATGTACTGGGGATGGCAAGAACACAGAACATATTCTGGGTGGGGCCTTCAACATCCATCACTAAGAGCAGTTTGGCAACAACTACTGAACTAACTGGCCATACCCTAAAGTTCTATAGCTGCTAGACTGTGCCTGCAACAGGTGATGAGATAACGAAAAGGGGAAAACATACTTGACCATGCTGTTAACAATCTATTCCATGATGGTATCAATAGGAAAGATTATTGCACAGACCTTTGTGGAAACAATGCTCTACCTTCATATTGAGGATACCCTCTATCATGTTGTATGGCTCTGCACTCCGCCAAATGGGGCACATATTGAACAGATCCGGCAACTCATGAGGACAACCATGAGCACAACTTGTGACCAGCAGAAGAACTGTATTCAACCACAATCTGCATCTTCACGATCTGGCATATCCCTTGGTCTACCATTACCATCAAGCCAAGGGATTGAACCCTAGTTCACTGAAGACTGCAGAACAGCAGGTCAGGCATACCTAAAAATGAGGAGTCAACCTATTGAAGCTTTAATCACAGGACCACTTGCATGTCAAACAGTATAAGCAACAAGTGGTAGAGAGCTAAGCAATGCTGCAACCAATGGATTACACCTAAACACTGCAATTGCGCCACATCCAGTCATGAATGGCAGTCAACAATTAAACAAGGAAAAGGCTCCATTAATATCTCCCATTCCTTAATGGATGGGCGAGCTCAGCACATCTGTGTAAAAAACGTTGAGGCATTTAAAAGCACATTTAGTCATGAAGTGTTAAGTGGACAATCCATCTCCGCCTGAGAGCCTCACCACAGATACCAGCTTTCAGACAATTCAGTTCACTCCATGTGATATCAAGAAATGGCTGTTAGCATTAGATACAGCAAAAGCTATGAGCCCTGACAACATTTCAACAACAGTACTGAAGACTCAAGTTCCAGAATGAGCCACGCCCTTGACCAAGCAGTTCCAGCACAGCTATAACACTGGCATCTACCTAGCAATGTGGAAAAATTGTGCAGTCATGGCTTATGCACAAAAAGCAAGACAAATCCAATCTGTCCAATTACAGGCTCAATTTACTCTCAATCATCCATAAAGTGACAGAAGGGGCTGTCAACAGAGTTATCAAATGGCACTTCTAAACAATAGCCTGCTCAAGTTATAGTCAATTCTATTCTGGTAGGCCTACTCAGCTCCTGACTTCATTACAGCCTTGTTCCAATGATGGACCAAAAGCTGAACTCAAGAGAGTTGATATCAAGGCAGCATTTGAATTTGGGAATGAGCCCACCAACCCCACATCAAGGAGCCCTAGCAAAATCTGAAGTCAATGGGAATGAGGGAAAAAAACACTCCAATGGATGCTGTCATACCTAGCACAAGGGAAGATGCAGCCACAGGGCATCACTGTGAGAATTCCTTGGAGTAGATGTTTTCTAATCAACCTGTTGACAGATGTTATCTCACACCATCTGAAGCAGGCGGGAGTTGATTCTAGGCCTTCTATCTCAGGAGTAAACTACCACTGCACCATTAGGGTCCCAATGTGCTTTGGGAAATGATTTATAAAGAATCATTAACCCTACTAAAGAAAACCCAGATATCTAGTACAAACAACTGAGTAGCTCCCACATGCTTGTTTAAGAATAATACTGATTTGCAAGACCAAGATTCAACCTTGCAATAGAGTACGTTAACACACCCACTGCTTGCACATTAACGATCCACCTGTATTTATACAGTAAAGGTAAAAGATAAAGTTGCCATGCCCTAAATGTTCAGACTCAATCTGAATCCTGGCAAAAACTATGTTAAATACTTGAAGAACTACACCTTTGAAAATTTAATGAAGTATTTGTCATTTCCTTAGACTTCTCCAAGTTAATGAGGCTTACCACATGCTTTTCTTGTCAAGTTAGACTTGTACATGGCCTCCCATAAAACAATTCTAAGGATAGCTAGATTTTTCTCATGCTGTTCTATTTGTGTTTACATTGGTTATTCAATCTGACTCAGATCCCAAAACTTGGTCCTCATCCACTTTGTCCTATTTTCAAAATAGTGACCTTCTCTTATCATTCAAATCAAATTATCTGCTACTTTGGTGTTGATTTGACCGAGCATTCATTAATTTTCTTCAGAATATACATCCTCAGTACTCAATATTCAAGTCCTCTCATTCTGAAATGTAATCAAAAAAGGTCAGTTTTCTTTTGCTGTACTTCATATTCTCCCACTTTCCAAAGTTAAACCCAACCAAGTCTAATCCAAAGAAGTATTTATGTACAAGATCAAAAGTTTGATTGGCAACCCCTTGGTCACCCGAACTCTGTCACTGCTTTGCTATTGATATTATTGTCAACAGTTTAATTGTTTTCTGTTGTTCATTTTAGTTCTGATTTAAGAGATTCTCATTAATTACAATTTTGAAATGGTGGCAACCTGCATATTTTACTCTTACTCAAACATACAACTTGTTTCCCTCAATCCTCCTACAATGTTGGGTGGTTTTAATACCAAACCCAGTAACTAATATAATCTAAATCAAAAAAAAAAATCACGAATTCCAACTTCACTTTCTCATCCTCTTTATTCTTCAATCATTATGAAGTCCTTCACAATAGGCACTGGTGCTTCACCTGGATTTCTCAATTTAGCTTTCATTTGAGGTAAATGACAACTACTCCTGCCCAAGATCCACTTGTGTGGTCAGTATCCTTCGTGTTGAAAACCGTTCTGAAGAAGCTGTCAATCCTATTTAGCTAAGGATTTGTACATTCAAACTAATGATATCTTCTACCCCTTCATCCTCTGGTAAGTCACCCAGGCATATAATAACTTGCATTGATAAAAGCTCCTTTATGGAGGGGATTCTGACAGCTGAAGGCATGGTAGCCAAAATGAAAATCGGGGATTCACAAAATGGAGAACAGAGGGAATGCAGAGCTTTTGAGGACTTTTAAGGCTTGAAGCTTATAGAACACCTGGAAGATTTGAACACAAGGATAACAATTTTTAAAGTCAAGACATTTGGGAACTGAAAGCTAATGAAGAACATCGGAACAGGAGAACCCATTTGAGTCTTCATGCCTGCTCCATCATTCATTAAGATGATAGCTGATCTGGCCATGGTCTTAGCTGTACTGTTTTTCCTGTCAGCACCCCACAATCCTTGACGCCTTGTCTATCAAAACACAAATTCCAGGCAGGTTATGATGGAACTGTATAAGACCTTAGTTAGCCCACAGATGGAATACTTTCTGCAGTTCTGATTGCCACACTAAAGGAAGGGTGCGATTGTACTAAAGAGCGTCAAGGAGATTTGCCAAGATGTTGCTTGGGCTGGAGCATTTCAGCTATGACGAGAGACAAGATAGACAGGGCTTGTTTTATCTTACAGCATAGAAGGCTGAAAGGAGACCTGATTTAGGTGTACAAAATAATGAGGGGCACAGATAGTATGGAGAGAAAGCAACTTTTCTCTTTCATAGAGGAATCAACAACCAGCAGCATAGATTTAAGGTAAAAGGGCAGGAGAGGTTTAAAGTGCATTTAAGGAACAATTTTTTTTCACCCATATTTCAGACAGTTTAATTAGCGAGATGGATACTGTTCTCTGCAGCTGTGAGCAGGAATCCCAAAAGCTGTGTTGCCAGCTAAGGATGGACGGTGGTTCTAAGCAAGGGTTCAGGAAAAGAGAAATGTAGGCTTTCAAAGCAAAAGGATATTGCAGAATTAAAAGGCAGCTATTTGGATAATGATACCCAGAATGGGAAAGAAAGGAGCAGAGAGTACCAACATAGAAAACAACAGTATACACGAGTCAAAAGGAGCAATAATGGTAAAGTGGCAAAATGAATCACTCTTTCCTTAAATGCACGTAGTATGTGGAACAAAATAGCCGGATTAACTGTAGAAATATAAATTAATGACTATGATCTTGTAGTCATTACACAAACATGCTTACAAGGAGAACGAAGCTGGGATCTAAATATTCAGGAGAATGCAACTTTCCAAACAGAAGGAAAGAAAGTGGTGGGTTAACATTTTTGGTACAAGGATGGAATAAGAATGATAGCAAGATGATTTTGAATTGGAAGATGTAGAATCCTTAAAAAGGGAACTGGTTGGAGTAGTCTAACAACAGCAATGCTGTGGAACAAAGAACAAATCAGGAGATAACGAGGGCATATAACAAAAGCACTGCATTAATCATGGGTGACTTTGACTTTCATGTAGATTGGGATAGTCAGATTGGCAGATAAATCCATGACGATTAATTCTTAGGGTGTATTCAGGACAGTTTCACAAGACAACATTTTGTCGATCCAACCAGGAATCTAGTGATATGTAATGAGGTAGGTTTAAAAAAAAACGAAGTCAAGAATAAAAGATCCCTGGAAAACAGTGACCCTAACACGTTAGAATTTAGCATACTGTTTGAGGGGGAGTATTCTGGATCTAAAACAACTGTGCTAAGCTAAAATAATTGCAAGGGGTGGAGCTGGTTGGAACAAAATGGGGAAGGAGTTTAGCAGAAAAGAGTAAGGAGATTGAGGAACAATGGCAGAACTATTTAAGAAAATAGTACATGGCCCACAGCAAAGACATACTCCAGTGAGGAAGGATTCCAGGAAAGGGATAAGTCAACCACAGTTACCAATTTAGCGGAATATAAAGAAGTGCTATGCCCTTTGGTAGGAAGAATAGACAAGTTGAATATTATTTAAATGGAGAAACTGTAGAAAGCTACAGAACGTAAAGGTATCGAGAGCCCTTGTGCATGAATCACAAAATGCTAGCATCCAAGTTCAGCAGGCATTAGGGAAGGCAAATGGAATATTGGCCTTTATTTCAAAGGGAATGGAGCATAAAAGCAAGGGGGTTTTGCTAAAACTATTCAAGACACTAATCAGAACACAGCTGGAATACTGCAAAGTGTTATACCCTTTTTCTAAGGAAAGGAATATAGGCACTGGAGTGCAGAAAACGTTTAGGCTGTTATCAGGTATGGAGGGACTGTCTTCTGAGGAGAGATTGTGCTTGTACTTCTTAGAATATAGAAGAATTAGAGGTTCTCTTATAGACACAGGTAAAATGTTAAGGGACTTTGCAAAGTAGATACAGAAAGGTTGTTTCTTCTTCTGAGAGAGTCTAGGTGCACAGGGTATAATCTCATAAGGGTTTGCACATTTAAGACAGAGAAGGACAAACTCCTCCTCTGAGGATAGTGAATCATGAAATTCTTTACCACAGAGACTTGTCGATGCTGGGTTGTTAAATACATTCATGATTGAGAGATGGGTTTTTAAATCAATAAGAGTATAAAGTATTATAGGGAAAAGGCAAGAAAGTGGATTTGAAGATTGTCAGATCGATCATGCCCTCACAATGCTGGAACAGACTAGATGGGCTGAATGGCCTATTTCTGCTCCTGTGTGTTATATTAGAATTCACTGCCTGAAAGGGGGTAAAGACAGGGACTTTCAGTACATACAAGTATTTAGATGATCACTTGACACATTATTGCATACAAGGCCACAGGCAGGGCTCTAATAGTACTCTGGTAGCATCCCTATCTCTAGGCAAGGCGGCACAGGTTTAAATTTCACCTGCTGCAGAGATGTGTCATAACATCCCTGAACAGCGGTTCATAAAAATACCTAAAGACTGTGGGCAATTACTGGAAAATGGGACTACACTACACAGTTGCTTGATGACTGGCACAGACCTGATCAGCTGAAGGGCCTCTTTTCACGACATAAGATTCCACGTATGGGCCAAGAAACATATGGTGAGACGAGATGCTTTAGCAGACACATGGAATTTGATGTGTTTGTTGAAGATATTGTCAAGGGGCAGCAAATAAATAAGGTATTGTAGGAGTCAAAGCTAGATCAGTCAAATGTGTTCAAGAACAAACATGCAGGAGCAGGAAATAAAGTCAATGCAACAGATCATCTAAATCTTCCAGGACAGATAAGAATGGAACAAGATAATGGCAGTTCTGCTCCAACAAGTGAATAAAAAGAAAGGGAGAGTCCTGTATCGGGTCGTGAAAACCTAGTTGCATCGCTTACAATCATATTCTACAACACTCAGCAATCAAGACTCGTCATCTTCTGCGAGTGCAAAAACTGCAATCTTTTGCCCATCTGCCCTCTGTGAAGACCATATTCTGATGCTGAATTAAGAAAAATAATCACTAAAAAACATTGACAATAAACACCGCCAGCACTTCGCCGAAATAACCGGGTAATGGACTTGGCAGGCCCTAGCTTAGACTCTGCAAATTACTGAATATCAAAAAATGACCCAGGTTAACCACACCCCAGCCCCTCCTTCAAAAGTCTCAGCGGAGTACAAAGTGGCAGCGGCTGAAGGGAGACAAACAGGGCATTTTCCTGCTCACTCTGTGTTGGCAGGTTCAGTGACAGAGGCTTGCCGTGCCATGGCCCTGGGCTCCATGCTCTGATACCAGCGTTTGTTTCCAGGGCCCCAACGCTGCCTGGAGCTGGAGATGCCGGTAACTTGACTATAAATACTCGCCAGTGGATCCAGCCGCTGTTTCTGGAGCAGCCGCCACACCGCTGGCTGGTGCTGCCACCGCCGGCGCTTGCCTTTCCCCCCACGGCCCAGCTACTGGAGCCCGGTATCGGCTCTCGGATGCCCAGGGATCGGTGCAGTCCCATGGTCTTGTTGGCATTCCATATCCAGCCGCAGCCACTGGCACATCCTCACAACCCCGGGCATCTAGGCCCTCGTTGAAATTTTGCGGCCGCCGGGAATGCATCAAAGTCGAGGCAGCAACGAATAAAACAACAGGCAGATAGTGACCTGGGAGGCCGAGTGAGAACACTCAACAACAGGAAATAACATCACCACCGGATATAGAGCTCAGGCTCAATGAACACTGGGATTTGTAGTCCGGGTAGTGAGGGGTCAGCAACACGGAGGGACCACGGGAAAAAGGGGTGGAAGATAGGGTGGGAGCTTGGGTGGTCTCCCACCCTAAGGTCTGAGTTCATTTAGAATAGAGTAGAAGCATGAAATCCCTACAGGATGGAAGCATTTCATTCGGCCCATCGGGTCCAACCTCCAAAGAGCATCCCACCCCATCTCTGTAACCCTGCATTTCCCATGGCTAATCCACCTAGCCTGCACATCACTGGACATTATGGCCAATGTAGCGTGGCCAATCCACCTAACCTGCACATATTTGGTCTGTGAGACGAAGCTGGAACACTCAGAGGGGACCCACCACAGACACGGAGACAATGTGCAAACTCAACACAGCCACCTGAGGCTGGAATAGAAACTGGATGTCTGGTGTTGTGAGGCAGCAGAGCTAATCACTGAGACACTGTGCCACTCTTAAACTAGCTTCAGCTAGCTCAGCTTTCAAGCTGACATAGTTGCCCTTATTTAAGTTTCAATCATTCTATGAATTACTTATCCAGGCTACTAGTACCACTCTGCTGAGCGTTTTCTTGCATACTTTGCCCCACATTGTGGTTACAATTGGCCAACTCCCACTAGTGAGTTCTTTCCCATCTATTCCTCATGTCCAACCATTCGAATTCTACATTCTGAAGCAAAGTCATCTCTAACTATTGCACAATATCTTTGACTAACAGCGCCGCCTACCTTTACCCAGCTTCTTTTTCTTCTTGAATGTCATATCAGCCTCAAAATTCAAAATCCTGAACACGTTTCTGTGATGTCGATCAAATTGTGTTTATTTACTTCTAAGTGTACTATCAATTTACTCTGTTATAAATTCTATGTGAATTCACATCCAGTCTTGATTGTTGGTGTATTCCTAGGTTTTTTTTTCTCTCTGCCCTTCTTGCCATTCTATGACCCTCATTTCCCACATTAGTATTTTCCTCCCTTACCTTGTTCCACCCTTTGATATATCACATGTTTCCATATTTAAGCCTTTGCCTCCACTACTTAGTTAAAATCCCTATCTACTTTTCTAGTTGGCAATTTTCATGAACACTGACCCGAGCACGGTTCAGTTGTAGGCTGGCCCAATGTTACAGTCCCCATTTTTCCCAGTACTGGTGCTGAAGGCTCACAAACCAGAACCAAATGCTCTCACACTAATCTTTGAGCCACATATTCATCACTTTAATGTTATGCACCCTATCTCAATTTGCATGTGGCTCAGGTTATTAAGGTAATAATCCAGAAATTATAACCTTTGAGGTTCTGCTTTTCAATTTAATACTTAGCTCCTCATACTCTTTACAGAACTTCTTTCCTGGATCTACCTATGTTCATAGAATCTCTACAGCGTGGAAACAGGTCCTTCAGTCCAACAGCTGGCCATCAGAGCATTCCACCCAGACCCATCCCCCTACGACCCACCGAAACTACACATCCCTGAACACTTAGGTCAATTTAGCTTAGCCAATCCACCTAGCCTGTACATCTTTGGACTGTAGGAGGAAACCGGAGCGAACCCATGCAGACATGGGAAGAGTGTGCAAACTCCACATAGACAGTCCTGTAAGGATGGAATTGAACCCGGGTCACTAGCACTGTGAGACAGCAGTGCTAACCACAGAGCCACCATGCCGCCATGTTGTTGGTACCAACATTGACCATAATCATTTGACCCTTCCCTTCCCACTGCAAGTTTCTTTCAAGACTTGAGCAGATGCTCCAAACACTGATACTGGGCAGGAAACACAGGTGTCTTGCCTCTCAGTCTTTGCTACAGAGAACAGTGTCAGTCCCACTTACTGTACTATCCCCTGTTCCTTGTTGCTCCCTCCAATCATTGGTTCCTTTACCATGGAGCCATGGTCAGTTAGCACAACCACCCTGTAGCCACAACTCTCATCCAAATAGCTGAGTAAACCTAAAACCTATTGACCAATTGCAGAGGCTCACATACCTGGCCCCTGGGTCTCCTCCTCTGCCTTGCTGTGTGACAGGAGTCACATCCTCTTGTCCCTGACCACTGACCAGACAAGAAAACCCTATCATGGATGATGTGACTGCTTCCTTGTACAAACATTCCAGGTAACTAACCCCTTCCAGGATGAATCACAGTGTCTATTGTTCAGGCTCCAGCTCTTAAATGCTTAGCCAATGCCTCTTAAAATTCAAATGCTTGCTGCAGATGTGTTTGCCTTGTATCAGAAGGGGTATCCAGGAGTTCCCACATGCTACAGCTTTGACACTTCACCTGAGATGCCATTGTA